GCCTCGGGGTCCCCCCCGAGGAGCTGGTGGGGTTAGCTGGGGAGAGGGAGTCCTGGGTGCCTCTACTGAAGCTGCTACCCCCGCGACCCGAACCCCGGACAAGCGGAAGATGATGGATGGATGGATGGATTAAAATTGCAAAGCTAAGTTTTTTTCCTATGAAAAGTAAAAATGTTTTAACGAAACAAACTCCCTACGCTATATTGAAAGTACAGAACTGAAAGTAAAAAGGCCGATCTTCATATAGCTGACTAGCGATGTAAGAATTGCATGTGCATCTGATAATATTAATATCACACACTGTCCAGTTCTTGATACCCATCCCTAGTTAGGATAAGGTATACTTACATGCTGCCTATGAATGTTCTATGAATGCATAATGAATGCATTATGAGGGTGGAGTTAATGTAAAGCATTATCCATTATTCATTGTAAAATAACACAGGTTCAAAACATTCAAATGTTTTTGTCCATTATGTCCATGAGAGGGCAAACCTATATAACGAGAGACATAACTACAGTGCCTTGAAAAAGTATTCATACCCCTTGACCTTTTCCACATTTTGTCATATTACAACCACAAATTTAAATATATTTTATTGGAATGCAGTTTAACGTCATACCCAGGACATACACAGGAACAGAGGAACTGCATGAAATTCATGAACCATTGATTAATGATGAACAAAGACTGGATCAGTACCTAACTAAAACAGTTTCTGGTTTATTAATACATTACTTGTGCCCCTAATGTAAAGTGTTACCATTAATTATATATGTATATTTATTTAAACAAAAACATGTCTTTGAAAAGATCTAAATACCTACACATTACAAAATAAACAAAATAATTAGGGTATTGTATATACAACACATATTGAACCCTACATGGGATAACAATTATTTTTTCCTTAATGTGTAATGGGAAATAATGCACTACAAGTCCCCAATGGTTTAAGTTTCTGTCTCTAGCCTATTGATTATTCAGTATCTACTTCAGTCAGTACAGAAGCACAAAATTCAGCGAAATCTCACAACAAAGAAGTTTTACTCTAAGGTATAATTTTACAATAAGTGCCATTAAAACAGAAAGCATGCTACTTACATGCTTGAAGCTAGAATTCCCAAAATGCAACCATAAAAATTTTTGCAGCCTACCAACCAAAATCTGAAATATTTCCAAACAGGGTATTTTTTTAGATTGTTAGGAGTACAACTCTATCTCTCTGCATTTGGATTGTGAACATTCTGCCATCATTACCACATGGTTGTTGTTGACTTATTCCCTCATTTCAATCAATGAAAGTGATGTTGTATGACTCCCGTCCATCATATAGTGCAGTCAGTGCAGCAGCACAGGCCCACGCAAGAACTCACAAGGGAAACATCCACAGTAGTACTGCTCCCCCCACAATCGAATATTAATTTTCACAATTGAATGTCTTGTTGTTAACAATTCCATTATATAACCAAATTTAGAATATTTGTTGACTGCAGTACTCTGTTCAGCGTCATACTAGTTAAATCTTTATTTGGACAAGTTCATCCACCAGCCTCTAATTTAGAAGTGACTCAAAAATAAATGCCAAATTCTTCTGTTCATGCTAAACAGAAAGAACAGTTTGAGTATTTTTGTTTATGTGCAGCAGACACCTTGCCACCTAACCACACTATACACAGATCATTTTGGATTCAAGACTGTTTAAATCAGGGGTGGCCAATCTTATCCGCAAAAGGCCGGTGTGTATGCAGGTTTTTGGGGTAACCTTTAGGTCGGCTGTTCAAACCCAGGTGTGAGGACTCTTCAGCCAATCAGTCCTCTAATTAGTGACCTAATTAGGGAGTTGCAGCAAAAACCTGCATACACACCGGCCCTTTGCGGAAAAGATTGGCCACCCTTGGTTTAAATAGACACCATCCACAATCCTGATCTTGGAGAGATTCAGGGGTCAGGGGTGGCTATCTTATCTGCATGCTAGTTTTTGAGGTAACTTTTAGGCCAATTGTTCAAACACAGGTGTGAAGACTCTTCAGCCAATCAGTCCTCTAATTAGTAAGCCAACTAGGGAGTTGCAGCAAAAACCTGCATACACAATAGCCCTTTCTGGATAAGACTGGCCACCCCTGATTTAGAGAATCAAATGGTTAAAATCTTTTGAAGAACAGTTATCATGACAACCAGTATTGGCATCAAGCTAGCAGGACCAAATATGAACTGCACTAGTTTGGATTCTGTGGACTTGCAGCTCTTTTCCAAGTCCCTAGTGCCTCCCACTGGCTGGATTTCTCACCTTTGCTCCTGCATTTTATGCTGGTTTCATGCCACATGGCTCCTGCATTGGGGCCTTCTTCCTGCAGAACAGAAGGCCTGCTAGTTATCAGCCTACCCAAGCAGGTACTATAGATTACCACCAGCTGGTACACAGTAAACATTGTCTCAAAGTGGGCTAGCCTAGGGAATGTGGATTTCCAGTGCAGATTGTGTTGATTTTATAAATTCCATTCTCATTAGATGTTTTTTCCTCAGTTAAGTGTTATTATATATTGATAAGTCTAACCTGCTCAAACACATGATTTTAGCTGTTTTCACATCACCTATAAAAGCTCTACTGTGGAAGAATAATACACTTCACATTCACACTTACTGTACCTGTCCATGCATCAGGAACACTGGATAATGGCCACAATTTCCTGTGACATTAGCCTTATGCAAATTCCCAAGGCACTAACCTGAAAAAACGCCTGGCGACCTTTCCTGCCCCCATTTCTACGACTTGGAGGCAGTGAGGAGGTTCGTCCTGATGCCCGAAATGGCTTCATCCTAGGCAGGGAGTGAGGAGCTTATTTTGACATTACTAACAAGTTCGTGTATTAAGGGTCTAATAATGGTACATACGAAGCGGAAATCTCATTAGTTTCTATGGGACTATATTGTAATTGTATATATTCTCATGTTAGATAACTCGGTTAATAATAAGCACATTATCAAACGTTAATCTAATAAAAAAAATCTATAAAATTAATATGCACCCATTTTCATCACTGCCTTTAAAATTAGTTCATTACAAGTATAGAGTTAATTGTATTTGTAGTTGAGATGAGCCACTAATAATTTAGTGACAGTTTATCGATAAACACATAGGACGTTTAACTTAAGTTTTGATTTCCTATTTCATATAAACATAAACACCAATACCCATTTCAATTACTTTTGCTAAGTACAAAAAACTAAGAAATGGATAACTTACCCGTTTCGCGGCACATTCAAAATTGGCTAATAGGCTGTAATAACGCATGCCCAAGACGAGTGCCGCTGACGTGCCCTTTACGTACACGGATATTGCGTATTAGCCCTGCCCACGGCGTGCAACCAGTTCGTCGCATATTCAAAACGTAAATCGCGTTGATCAAACGCGTCAGATAGATAAAAAAAATATCAAATGTGCCGTTATATCGGCCCAATCCCAAACTGGTCCCTACACACTCCGCCTCACCACTCCGCCTTCGTTTGCGCGTTCCCGAGACCCGTCGCCATGTTGAAGTGTGTCTCAAAGCAGCAAGGGCTAAGGGGGAGTGGTCGATTATGCCCTCCTTTAGCGAGTCGGCAACGATGGTGGCTCGCGCGATTTCACTACCACTTCCATATCCCATAATTCCTAGCGCACAGGAAACAGAACAGCGCGATAATTTAATAATTGGATTCTAACAGCACAGTGAAATACACATAGAAAGTCTGTGTTACATGTTATAATTCATCGCTGCAGAAAAAAAATTAGGAAAGCAGTTATTTATAGCTGGTCAGTACAGATAGATTTTATCGTGATCCGATTACGAGAGATTTTGTGTACTTTTCAAACTAGAAACCACGCGAAGAAACATTCGTACGCAAACTCGATCAACATCACACCAGCAATAACAATTTATGTTTCATATTTGCCTGTTTTTTCCTCTACATATCTGGATCTGGTATTTGGTACAGAAGTAATGCGTAATGTTTTATGCGTGTAAACTAAGTTAGCTATGGTAGAAATTGTACAATCGTCAATATGACACATGTACATACTTAAAATCGCTCAGTGGAATAAGACGACGTAGCCGTCGTCTTCTCGCATTAGATAAACTGTGCTTTTTTTAAATAACTGATATGTCATTATCATTTCGTCAAATCACTACGTAATGCATTTCCTCTTTCCGGTGAAGAAGACTGTAAAAAGGCGCTGCGAGGGCAAGTCTGTCTCAAATCTTTCTTGTGACAATTTCCTTCAGTTTAAGTGTATAGGGCGTGTTGTGAGGGTGACTCGGCGGGAGTGTGACTCGAAATGAAGGCGGAGTGTCGAGGGTATAGTTTGGGATTGGGCCATCGTCATCGTTTTCATTGAAACGGACGTGTACTTTGAAGTGTTAATATAGTTACCCGGTTCGAGGTTGAGACCCCCCCCTCAAGTTTTTCAGCGTAGTAATGCAGCGTTCGATTATTTCTCTGAGAGTCGGAACTCGGATGAAAACGTCATCTGAACTCAACAGTTATTCTATTTTATAAATCTTTAAAAATGTTTATTTTGTTAAATGTATTAATAGTTATAAATGTAATTGCACGAGTTCGATTTAGAGAGTACCATATCATGAACGTACACAGTATCCTAGCATGCAATATCATCTTTTTACCAGACTTGTTAGTGTCTTTGGTTTGTTTGTAGTTTAACTCTCGAAAAAAGAATATCGCTATGAATGTACTAAAATATTTTATAAAGCTTTTAATGCTGTTTGACTAGTTCGTGTTTCTTGTTTGTCTCTCGAAAAAATAATCTCACTCCAAATCTGCTAAAATATAAAGCAACAACACACAGCGCCGTGTTCGTGGAGGCAGCCATGTTTGTTCCGTGATGTTTTTTTTAATTATTATTATTATAACAATAATACAACAATGACAATAGCAACAACGACAATAATATCAACAACAACAAGAGGGGTACATCTACAATAATGATATAAAAGAGGAATCCAGTTCCGCAAATGCACTCATAGTTCTGGTTGCTTTCCGGCTTAAAAGTCCTTGTAATGTTCCAAAATAATGTTTCAAATCCATGGGAGATGTTGGGCATTCTCGATGACCATTTACATTTGTGAATATAGAATTT